CGGTCTGTCTTTGACTTTTCTATCAATTAGTAACCTGTCTGTCTTTGAGTTTACTATCAATTAGTAACCTGTCTGTCTTTGAGTTTACTATCAATTAGTAACCTGTCTGTCTTTGAACCGGAAGCCTTGCTGTGTTACGAATCTTATCTTACGTCAGAGACTGTATACCCTGGGAAAAATTTCCTGTTTTTTGTAAGGTCAATATTTGAAACTGCAAGGCTTTGGAAAACCAGGCCCTGTGAAGTACATTTGCTTTATGCATACTCCACACATGCCCGTGTGAATCAAACAAGCCATCTGGCAAGCTGGGCCACGCTGCTAGTTTGTGACTCTGCTACAGAAAGCAGAGTGCTGGTGAATGGTTTACACCAAGGAAGGTGGTGATCTCTGATATCCTCCAAGGTTCTGTAATACCCACAGCCACGGCAAATCCTTCCTTGGTCGTGGGATTGAACTCTTGGGAATTTGCCAAGTGCTCATCTCTTGGAGGAATAAGGTGACTAGTGCAGCTGGCCGGTTAGGTCAGTGGTTAGAGTGCGGTGTTGTAAAACCAACGTCAAGGGTTCATATCCCCTAATTCGGGGGAAGGAGAGGAGTTTCAGCCAATGTCCCAATAGGCAAAGTCAGCCTTCGTCGTCAAGTAGCCGCTCCGAGCTTTCTCTCCCTTCCACCTGGGATGGTGGTGAAAAGAGCAGTGGGTTTGGAGCAGAAGGACTGGGCTTTGAACCAGGCTCTGCCACGTCCTGGCTGCGCTCGGGAAGTAACTCAGCCTCTCTGGAGCACCAGAGCTGCATGAGGAGTAATGGGACAGTGCACTCAGGACTCCAGGCACCTAGAAGGCTTTCAAGAAACGGGATGTCCCTTCTGCTTCCCTCGCTCTTCTGCTCTAGTCTCCATTCAGACCACCTCTCTGGCTGCCGTCCCTTTAAGACCGCCTTGGAGGACCCAGATTCAAAGTCGAGGACGGCTCTCTAGCTGCTGTCTCTATTGTAAGCCCACACTTCCGGTCGGCAGTGCGTTTCCGGGCTGCTTCCGCCCAAGATGGTGGGAAGGGAGTTGAGACCCGTGTTGTGTCCCGTCCGAGGGGAACCCACTCTCCCCTCCTCCTTGTCGCCGACTCCGGGCCCGCAGGGCGACGCGGGCCAGCCGTGGCCGCGGCCTCCGCTGCCACCGGCCCAGCCCGNGGATGCCCCTTCTGCTTCCCTCGCTCTAGGGCCCTCCCCTCCGCCCAAGGCTCTAGTCTCCTTTAATCCCACCTCTCTGGCTGCGGTCCCTTTAAGACCGCCTTGGAGGACCCAAATTCAAAGTCGAGGACGGCCCTCGAGCTGCTGTCTCGATGGTAAGGGCACACTTCCGGTCGGCCATGCGTTTCCGGGCTGCTTCCGCCCAAGATGGTGGGAAGCGAGTTGAGACCCGTGTTGTGTCCCGTCTGAGGGGAACCCACTCTCCCCACCTGCGGGTCGCCGACTCCCGGCCCTGGCCGCGGCCTCCGCTGCCACCGGCCCAGCCCGCGGCGTCGGGCCGCTCCGGCGGTTACTGACGCTCCGTAGGGGGCCGGGAGGCCCTGACCGGCCGAGGTTTGGAGAGACCGGAGCCCTCCGCGGGGCCGGGACTGTAGGGATTGCGCTCCTTGTAGCAGCGGGGCTTGGACGGGAGGAGACAAAGGGAATGCGGTCACCGAAATCGGAGGGAGGGGTGAGACCCGTGTTGTGTCCCGTCCGAGGGGAACCCACTCTCCCCTCCTGCGGGTCGCCGACTCCCCGCCCGCAGAGCGACGCGAGCCAGCCCTGGCCGCTGCCACCGGCCCAGCCCGCGGCGTCGGTCCCCGCTCCGGGGCGGTTACGAAGCTCCGTAGGGGGCCGGGAGGCCCTGACCGGCCGAGGTCTGGAGAGACCGGAGCCCTCCGCGGGGCCGGGACTGCAGGGATTGCGCTCCTNGGTCAAGGGTTCATATCCCCGAATCAGGGGGGGGAGGAGAGGAGTTTCAGCCAATGTCCCAATAGGCAAAGTCAGCCTTCGTCGTCAAGTAGCCCCTCCGAGCTTTCTCTCCCTTCCACCTGGGATGATGGTGAAAAGAGCACTGGGTTTGGAGCAGAAGGACTGGGTTTTGAACCCGGCTCTGCCACATCCTGGCTGCGCTCGGGAAGTAACTCAGCCTCTCTGGAGCACCAGAGCTGCATGAGGAGTAATGGGACAGTGCACTCAGGACTCCAGGCACCTAGAAGGCTTTCAAGAAACCGGATGTCCCTTCTGCTTCCCTCGCTCTAGGGCCCTCCCCTCTGCTCTAGTCTCCATTCATCCCACCTATCTGGCTGCGGTCCCTTTAAGACCGCCTTGGAGGACCCAAATTCAAAGTCGATGACGACCCTCTAGCTGCTGTCTCTATGGTAAGCCCACACTTCCGGCTGGCAGTGCGTTTCGGGCTGCTTCTATCAAAAATGGTGGGAAGCGTGTTGAGACCCGTGTTGTGTCGCATCCGAGCGGAACCTACTCTCCCCTCCTGCTGGCCGCCGACTCCCAGCCCTCAATCGACGCGGGCCAGCCCCGGCCGCGGCCTCCGCTGCCACCGGCCCAGCCCGCGGCGTCGGGCCCCGCTCCGGGGCGGTTACGAAGCTCCGTAGGGGGCCGGGAGGCCCTGACCGGCCGTGGCCTGGAGAGACCGGAGCCCTCCGCGGGGCCGGGACTGCAGGTATTGCCCTCCTTGTAGCAGCGGGGCTTGGACGGGAGGAGATAAAGGGAATGCGGCCACCGAAATCGGAGGGAGGGGTTGTGGGAGGCGCTGTGGCCGCCGAAGAGCCTGGGAGTCCCCGCTGGGTTAGCTCGGCTTCCGGGGAGTGTGCTAAGCATCGAGTGACTTTTGTCCTTTTAGAGCACGTTGTACTATTTTATTCTCAGGGTTTCCACAGGAAATGAGAAAGAAGCAGCCCCCGACGACTGGGCGAAGGGATGCAGTGATGATTTCCTCGTGTTCCTCGTCGATGGGAGCTTTCCGAGTGATCTCAGTTCGGGGGACCCAGGTATGTAAAGCATGGCGTGTTCTCAGGCAGAGGGTCTGGGGAAAGGCTCCTGTGTTGTTGAACCTGCCTGGTATGGGTGCAGCCTTGTACCTGGCAGCCCGACCCTGACGTAAAGTAAACTCCCAGGAGAAGTCTTTCCTGTGTTGTGAACTTGCAGTCACAGGCTGTGCTCAGAGTGGCAGGCCGCCCAGGGCTGCGCTGAAAATGGGACAGCACCAGGCGTGGGGGTGGCAGAGCTTATATAGGTATGTTGGCGCCAAGAGCGGGGTGATGTAATTCCAGGGCGGGGATTGAATTAGGTCATGGGAATGGGGAGTTCTGCACAAGTGGAAACGCCAAAAGATTCGTTTTCTCTGGAACCTTGAGGCTTCTTGTGAAAGAGAAAGGGGGCAGGCAGGGGAGGAGGTGGACGGTACCATTTTGTACTTGGGCTTGTGTAAAATGGCGCTGGTTATGTTGCAGATCTATTAGGGGACCATCTCTGTGTGTTCACACCTGCAGGCCCATCTAGGGCACCTTCAGTATGCTAGAATCACCTAGATAACTCCTAAACTTCCTGACTCCCAGGCCACACCCAGACCCATAAAACCAGAATTTCTGTGCCTGGCTCTGTAGTCTTTGAAAGCTCTTAGGCGGTGCTGATGTGCAACCCAAGCTGAGAACCATGTCTCTTGAGGACATCCAGGCAGCAGCTCTAAGCTGGCTGCCCACCCTCCACTCCCCACCCTTCCTGCCTCTTCCTCCTCCTGGCTTGGCTTCCTCTGTGCGTTAGTGGGTAGTACTGCAGCTTCCTCAGGCTCCTGAAATGTCCCCACCATTTTGCAGAAGTTGCTGAGTGGGGGCAGGCCAGGACAGCTCCCCTTTCTAAGCCCCCTCCACCCCAGAGAGTGGGGGGAGTCCCAGGAGATGGCATCTTTTTAAAGGGTTTTGCTCCAGGACACGGAAGGAACCCACAGCTTGAGAGCAATAAATGAGAGGAAATCTATCATCCTCAGAAAATTGGTTCCTGGCTGTCCCGCATAGTGACAGTAATCACAGGGGCCTCTTAAAGTGCCCAGCTAAATAAATAGGTTTAATAGCAATGAAACCAGCTGCCACCCCAGAGGCTTCTAAACATGACGTGGGTGGGCTCTGGGCTGCTTGTATGCCACCCCCCAGTCCCCAAGAGCTAAATCCAGGCACCGTAAGGAGAGGCTTAGGCTCCGAGCTGGGTCCTCTTACAGAAAGTGTAAGGGAAGACGTCTACTTTCAGCTGCCAGGTGCGTTTCCAGCCCGGAGAGTTCTGTGATCACAAAACTCCCCAGGCCTCCCAGTCCTACCATGAAGAGCAGCCTCAGGGAAATGGTCTGGGAAGACAGGACTGGCTATTGCTGGGATTGGCCAGCTTTTCTGGCAGCCAAAACCCAGCATCACAGAGCCGGTAGTTTTGAAAATTCCATGGACAATGTTGATGTCATTTGTTTCATTAAGTAAATACTTTGGCACCATGCTAAGTGTTAGGGACACAGAGATGAACAAAACAGACATGGCCCTCGTTACCAGGGAGCTACAGCCCAGTTGGGAAGACAAGGTTTAATGATCACACTTAAAAGGGGATAATTTAGGCCGAGGTGAATGCTCTGAAGGAAAGCACAGTCCTATAAGAATATATATCACAAGGAGCCTGGTGGAGACTGGAAGGCTTTCCTGAAACGGGACCGTTAAGCTGGACTCTGAAGGATGAGTAAGAGTTTGCTAGAAGGGCCAGGGGACAGCATGTATAAAAAGGCCCAGTGGCCTAGCAAATGTGGCTGTTGAAAGAACTGAAAGAAAGCCATTGTAGCCCAGAAAGCAATGTGAAAAATGGTATGGAATGCAGCCGAAAAGGTGGGGAAGGGCCACGCCACACAGGGCCTTGTGGTTCATGTGAGAATTTTGGTCTTTGTCCCAAGAATAGTGAGATACTGGCATGAGTTTTAAACAAGAGGATCATGTGCAAAAATCTTTTAATTTCAAAAGATCACTATGTACAGAGCAGTGCTGTCCAAGAGAGCTTTCTGTGATGGCAGAAATGGTCTATATCTGTGCTGTTCAGAGCAACCACAAGCTACATGTGGCTGCTGAGCACTTGCAGCGTGACCGGCGCAACTGAGGGACTGGATTTTAACTTTAATGTAAGTAGCCATGTGTGACCAGTGGCTGCCGTGTTGGACAGTGCAAGTCTGGAAGGCATTGGAGGGAGCAGTGACGCCTTTATGGGAATCATGGCACGCAGATGCCTTTTACATCTCCTGCACATCTTCCCTTCTTGGATAAAGGCTGAGACAGGTTCCACTCTGGGGAGAATCCTCATGTTGATTTAAACACAGTAACTGGAACTTTTAATGTTTATGTTCTTGGCTGTAATTTAGCCTGCTCCTTCATGATGCAGCGTTCTTCCTTCTCTTGTCTTTGCTTGTTTTGTTGCCAACACACATTGAGAAGTGACACCTTCAGCACATTTAAGTACCTGCAGTGGTGAGAGCTTTATATCGTATGACTCAGAGGGTATGTGTAGTAGTCTGTTTCTCTTGCTTATTACAAAATGCCCCAAACTGGGTAATCCGTAAAGAAACAGTATTTATTGCTTACCGTTTTGAAGGCTGGGAAGTCCACAGTCCAGGGAACATATCTGGAGAAAGCCCTGTTGGTGGTGACAGTGACACAGAGGTCTAACATGGCAGAATGGGGGAGCAGAGAGAGAGACTCTCACATGCTCTCATTTTAAAGCTCTCAGAACCACACCACTGACCACCATAATTAATCCATTTACTAGGGCATGATCCCCAGAATCTAATCACCTCCTCCAGGCCCCACCTTTTAATTACCATAATAGGATTTCCTACCCTAAGCAGTTACATTCAGTGACTTTGAGGGGCGGGGACATTCAATCCACTGCAGTATGTAAAGAAAAGCACAGTCCCTGGTGTTGAGGCTTAGAATCTAGTGAGGTAGATGTCAGTAAATGCCACGGAACAACAGGAAG